CCATGAAAAGCTGAGTTGGGATGAAATGGTGCCCCGGTAGCGTAACTGGTAGCGCACTTGCCCGGAAAGCGAGAGGTGCGGGTTCTAGTCCCGCCTGGGGCGAAAGTTTTGTTCACAACCCAGCATTCTTGTGAAACAATCACTGCACTACTTTACTTACGGAATTTTCAACAGAACAGAGCACTCAATAGTAAAAACACAAGAATCCCCCAAAAAAGGACTTGAGTTCGCAGCTTTCGAGGGATTGTTGCCCAGCAAATATTACCTAACTTGCCTGGATATTCGCTGGATGGTACACTCTTGAAGAAAAAGCGCAAGTGAAAACTTGGAAAACTTTGATCCCTGAAGAAGGCAAAGCAGGAGGCCTGGAACATTTGACAAGCCTTAGCTGCGCCACCTCATACGCCATCCTTTTTCAGGTGAAAGCCCGTGTGAACACAGTAATGATTTCGATATTAATCTAATTTTGCTTGTGATATAATGATCATGAACTGTTTCTTGAGATTGTTTGTTCCTTCAAGCTACCATACGTTTATGGGACAAAAGTGTTTTCTTCGCCCTCATAATTTTGGTCCACCCTGTACATAGTTCCCAATCTGCAGCGCTACAGGTCATGAAAGTCACCGATGAGTGAACCAAGAGCAGAGATGAAACATTTTCAACAATTCAAGAAACCCGCGCCAGGGTCAGCCGTACCTTGAGCAATAACGTACGGTCACGGAGGGTCACATTCGGCATTTTTCAAAGGATCGCATTCTGGTCTCCGTTAGTGATCGTGGTGGGGAGAGTAGCATTTGAGATCTCCAGAGAGGGACATGGTGACGAAAGTTGAGAGATCGTGATGCCAGTGGAAGGCGCGAGGTGGGTTTTGTCAATCTTTTCGGGAATTCTCACGAAATGTATGGAACTGGCAGACCAGAGCACTTTCCATTTCGACAGGCACATATACCCCACCTATTCCAATCGATGACCGTTTTGACGGAAGATTGGCGAAGGTGGAGTGAGTTAACTCGTCTCATAGTCAGAATCAGCTCATTTCAGCAATAAACACTATCGAAACAACCATGGTGAGGAGCAAACCCCTGCAAGACTGGAGGAAGGCCGTATCGCGACCAGGGGAGGGACAGCGATGTCCCATCCTTCGTTTCCACGCCAAAAAACTTCTACCACGCCCCAACGCGTCTTCTGTCCAAGTTCGACTTTCTAGAATCCGAGCATACTCCCTTCATAATATTCGAGAGCAATAGTGAGCTCGCAACTCGTTCTCCTCTGTTACTTCGGCACAACTCGCAAGATGAGTATTCATAAAATAGTGCAATTTATGATCAATTATGGGCAGCGGAGTGTGGGCACAAAAATATGCAAAAACTAAGTGGGAACACGTTGGGACCTGATGCGATTGAACTGGCAACCTGAGAACTACTGAATACATAAACTCAGTGACATTATTTAGGTCGCCTTATGTTGCGACGTCGCACTAGTTGGGGAATTGTCAAAGTTAAACAAATCAAAAGGCTGAAAGATTCACTGAGGGATTTGTTGCTCAAGTAGCAAAAGCGGACGTAAGCAAACCAGCCCTTTTGGCGCTTCGGCTGGGACCGTATGCTGAATGTTGGGGAGGGGATGGAGTCCCCGACGGTGGACGGACCACTTCAACTCGGTCCTTAGAACCGCCACAATTTGGTGCTTACCTCAGAACTAAGCCTTAAAGAGAGGACGGGTCCGTCCCCTCTCCAAGGCTTAGTCCTGGGGTGAGCAAACCAGCCCTTCTGGCGGAGCTGCTGGACCAGCTGCACCACTTGCGTCAGTACTCTCCTATCGTACCAACCGAGTTGAAGTAAACCGTCGACCGTTGGGGACCCCATCCCCTCCCCAACATTCAGCATACGGTCCCAGCCGAAACGCCAAAAGGGCTGGTTTGCTTACCTCCAACACATTCGCTTCGCTTCATACATAAAGGTACCGTGCAACATTGTGGGACAAACATCGTGCACGGTAATGGAACTCTATCCTTACCAAAAAAGGTACATTGTGGCCTTGCTATGGTGGACCATTGGGGAGCAATGATGAGCATTCACTCAACGTCCTGAGGACGCAACTGAATGCAACCAGTTCTCGCAACAACGTTAGCATTTTTGTATTGCATTTCCCATGCGTGCGCTGAAATCTTCTCACCGACACCGCTGCATTCAAATTCCCGAAAGTCACTAAACCGTTCAACCTTGCGATTGTCTACAACCTGCACGAGCTTCGTTGTGTGGAATTCTATGACAAAAGTCCGCGAGGCAGTGTCCCGAATTGCCGCTTGCCAACCCGGACGAGAAAAGCGACCGCCTCCGTGGAAAACCTGCCCAGAAGATGGCTGCACGTACTACTTCATATTGGGGTGACCATTCGACTGATTTAAGGCTCGCTAAGTAATAGAATATTTAAACTAAACTACAGTTCCAAAGTGTGCAAGACTTTCCAATTGATTCAAGTAGCGTTATTTTCTTTTAATTGAGCAAAATTGGGGTATACTAAAACCGTAGACGAACCATTTGTTCAACCGTATGGTTTTTCCTTCAATGAACAAAATTGTATACTAAAGTCGTATACGAACCATGATTCAGGTTAACGAAACATGGGACACGAAAAGCATAGCGGAGTCGAGGTCTGGCTCTAGCAGGTCACCGGAAAAAATTGACATCGCGGACCTCGGGGAGCCTCCACACGATACGGTAAGCAGTTCAGTGTGAATAGATTCTAGATCCAATCGGAACCAAGTCATTCATCATACGAAACGATTGCTTTTTGAAGACCACCAAAAATGCGAATTGATGCCATCAAACAGCGTCTGAGATTGCCAGGACTTTAGGTTGTGTAACAAGCGCCTACTTCATCTGCAAACGTCACTCAATCTACAATAAACGCTCTGAAAATGATGCCTTCGTCTCTCCGATCCCTTTCTGTTCTAAACCTCTCTTTGTCAAGGTCTCTCGTTCAGACATGCATTCTCCTCTAGGGTGTAAGTCCCGCAATGCCATAAATCAGCTATGCTAAGAAAGCGGTATCCATTGCTCCCCCGATAGTCTCTTTTGGTTCGTTTTTTATTAGGGTGTCCCTAAAGTCTTTGAAAAAAATTGGTTCTAAATTTCGCAACCATGTTGTGCGCGAATGCGCCAAAGCCGATCGATAAAACAGATGGGTGGTGAAAGGGCAAGATTGGGAGATCGTGGCGCAGCTGAATGCTACCATACCTCGCCATTGGTGGAAAATTAGCTTTGATTGAACAATGCGCAACCAACATTCTTACCGATGCCTTCTGTTTAACTGTTACAGTTCTAGACGTTCTCCCGCTCGAGCCCGAAACTAATTATGGTGGACGATAGGCAACGGTGGGACCTCTGAAGTGACAAGCAGTAGGTGGTCACTCGCCTCAATAGGAGGAAGATTTGCCTCGACAAAGCTCCTCGCAGTGGAGCATCCACTTCCCTGCAATACCGATACTATTCCGGCCTCCGCACGGAGCAATCCCTTTCAATGTTGAGAGAATAGAGAGCACGACTTTTACTCGACTCCATCATTCACGAGATTCTGCGCAGAAGTCGCATTCGTGCAGCACTCCCTGGAGTTATCCCCCACTCCCTAACTGAACACGAGCGTCGAGGGAGTCGATGTGTGCCAGAAACTTTTCGACCGTAAGCTAAGGACGACATGGACGGTATCATATAAAAATCCACACAGGAAGTTGCAATGGCTACCAGTGGAGTGTAAAGCCCAACCCGTTCTGAAGCGAGGTGCCCAGACCGAGGAGGGAATGATCTCATTCTTCTTTTACTCCACCGGCTGCGTATACTACGAGATGCTACCCAAGGGTACTGCGGTGACGGCAAGAGTATTCTGTGAGCAACTGCGAGAGATGGTGTCTCGAGCCCCCAGTTCACACCGACTACAAGGAAAGTTTGTAATTGTGATGGACAATGCTCGACCACACCATGCGAGGACGACGACGGAGGAGCTGGAAACAGCTTGGTATCACCTGGCTACCCCATCCTCCATATTATCCCTGGCCTTACCCTTGTGACTACCATGCTCGGAACCTACAGCTTACACAAAGGGAGAAAAAATTTAAACAATCGTCAGGAGTCAAATTGCTTAACATGAATGGATCGCCTAACACGGCCCTCTCGTTCTGGAAAGAAGGATATCAGTTACCCTGCCAGCATGGCGGAGAGAACTCGCTGGGTAAAGAGGCCACCATGTTGAATTATTATCTCACGTTTTGTTGTGGTAATTTTATGTTGAACAAGCCGACTGAACTTCAAAACTTTTGGGACACCCTAATATTGTCGCTACATAGTAATACTACAGTACCAAATTTGAACCAGCATCCATACCCTGCTATACGGGTGGTGGCTTTCAGCACCATCGTTCTCCTTGAGATGTACGAAAAAAAATTAAGTAAAAACCCTGCACCACCGTGTTAGAAAAACTACTGTGAAAAGAATCGAAAGTTTTCGAGTTCACATGCATCCCCAAAATAGCGATTCTGCTAGAGCACTATCTTCAGTGTTGGATCGTATGGCTCATCGTTGTGCTGCATGGAATTGGCGTACTAATACCGTGGAACATGTTCATTACTATTGCTCCTCCAAATGTGAGTGTTGGTGATCAATAAGACTGGCAGAACCAGCAGCAACTTTGCGATAAAATTCGTCCAAGTTCTACCTCAAGCACGCTGGGATAAATGTACTGGCAATTCTGAGTCGGATGTCTGTGACCAATGAGCATATTTGGGACTGACACCGAGGGCAGCCATTGAGAGCTTCAACTGATAGTACGCCCTCTGCACCTAAAAAAGATATTTCAAAAAATCACCTATTGCTACCAGAACCTTTGGATCGATCTTTATATTCACGAAGAACAATTAAAAAAGAATCTGCCACAAGTATTTTCAGTACTACGTCGACTACTGGTTCACGGTAGATGGGAACAAGACAACCTATGCAAAAAGCTTCATGAGCGCTCTAGGAATCGCATCTCAGATTCCGAACTTCCTTATGGCCCTCATCAACGTAGCACAAGTCATTGGGTAAGTTCCTTAGAATATTCTGAAAAAAAAGTTACAGTTGCAGCATGTGATGCCTTGCACGTTGTGCGGCCGGGCAGCAAACTTTGTGCATGGCACGAGTTGATGGCACGTGGACTTAAGGTGCTAGCACCTTCTGCGACAGACTGCTTATCTATGTATATAGACATATCACGCTCTTATGCAGTCACGCTGGCTTAAACACACGACTTGTGATCTGCAACCAAACAGGCAACATCCTTGTTCTGAGGAAGCTCAAAAAAATGTACCAACACTGCGCTAACATAAGTTCATGCTGATAAAAGAGAGGGACATCGACCGATTGAGTTCCCTACCTTCTCTGCGTACTTGCAACAAAAAAATTAGACCGAGCCGCTGAGACAATTGCATGTAAGGCCTTCCTAGAATCTCATAAAAATTATGGGACGCGCTTCTAACTTTTCCCTTTAAAACGAACAATTCAGGGGTACGCTCATGATCCGAATCACTGGTACGCTAACTATTAACTGCATCAACGTTGGTGTTATCATTGCTTTGGTGATTCTTCAAAATCCCAGTCAAGAAGGTAGGGTAGTCTTGTCGAGATTATTTACTCGACGACGCAGAAGAATCAGAAGCAAAGAGGAACGAATTTCAGACATGGCTTGGTTCTACTATGTCTCGTTGACAATAGTCATCATTATGAACGCTTCCAATGGCTTGTATCAGGTCAGATTCCATCAACCCCTTCTTGCACCATTGAGCCATCTATAAAAGAATTGGGCTGAAAATGAATCGGAAATCTCGGGACAAGACTGCTATTAAAACTCACCCCTGGGAGTGGTGTAACACAGAGACCTGCATAAATGAGAAAGTGGGGTCAAGGAGATGATGTGAAAGGAACTAGTGGGACTAGAACCCATTTATTTGACCACACCAATGGAATAGAACGCATGGCGTAAAGGAAATCAGGCAAGAGAAATGCGAAAGTGAAGGATGTAATGAGACTTAGAAAAGTGTCATACGAGCTGGCCGATCATCAGTCCTTCCTCCCACGCCACGGTCAATCATTACAATGAGAACAATTCAGGACCAACCCAAATACGTCTACCTTGCGCCTCTATTGTGAATCTACCACCTACCTACCACCTTCTGGAAATCCGTCCACCGGCAAGACCGAGAACTCTCAAAGTCTGCCTTTTTTGCCTTCCACTAGAGGCAGAGGCATAGAGGCGCATTCCACTGAAGGCGACCCGCTCAGTTGGGCTTTGCCTCAGGACGATTGACCATGTGCTCGACCATGCAACCATACAAGCGAAGATTCGATGGAAGGATCAACCAGCCGAATTAATGGAAGCATTGGCCAGCACAGTCAAGCGCTTTATATACAGGCAGTACAATAGCTCAATCACGGTCAAGTTTGTTGTAATAGATGGTGAAGACTGCCCAGAGAGAAGCCGAGTTGAAGGCGGATTTTACGATGAAAAGGCAGCCCATTGGTATTTGAAGGAATCCTTCGCGGAAAATTCTTGCATTCTTTCTCAACATGAATGTATCAGTTGTGATCACTAGATGCAATACACAAAGTTTTACGCATGAAGGTTCGGTTTCCGAAGAGAAAAAAAACTACTCTATGGACAATCGAAGGTAATTCGGGCGGAGCCAAAGGCGAGGCATGGAAAGAAGTTGGCCTTTGGCCGGCTACGTATCAGGCGACGCAATGAAAGAATCGGGTTAAAGCGCGCGATTTCGGAGAGTGGAGACAAATCGATCGATGGAATAGGATGGAGTAGAAGTGTAAGATGTGAATGCAACGAAGCAGAAGGCCAGAAAGAGCTTCTAGTGAATGCACTCCAAGAACCAAGTTTGAGCATCCCCGTCGCCAGCATTCGTGAAAGACGTCCGTGGGCAATTTGAACGCGTAGCAGCCTTTCGGTTTTCGAATTTTTTACCAAAACAAATGCAATTTTTCTGTTCTTTTCATTCTTATCGTGGATGATGAGTCTCAAGCCAGTGATTTATGGCTGAAATAGAATCATGATTTTTCCGTGAAGGATTCCTTTAAGTGGAAAAATGCCTTCAGGTAAAGCGCTGAATGGAAGAAAAACAAGAGCGGGCCTAGAAATCCGAAAAATCGCGCGCACCGCTTCGCTTAGCCGTTGAGCGCTTGCCGCTCTCTCTCTACTGAACGGCTAGGGTTCAAACAGCGAGAGGGGGCATAACGCATCAATAGCGCGCTAATAACGCCGCGTGAAAAGCATGCTACATCCCCGGCTGCATATCCTCGATGCAAATTGCGTGTTTAGTCTGCATTGCATTAGGAGGGTTCGCCTGTCTATCCACTAGATAGCTTTCCCTACCCTCCTTTGGGTGGAAATTTCCCCACCTCACAAGGGGGGTCTTTCAGGGCAAGCCGCGCTTTTTGGAAACGGTTTCTTGCATATTGTAGGGACGCATGTATGGACCACAAAACCATGTTTCGTTTTCGCTGAACGGTTTTAGTAGTATCAAAAAAGTGGTGAATGATACCCTCGATGGTTCGATCCCCCGCGGCGACTAAATTTTGCAATCAAGGTTGGCGGCCACTTGTTGGCTTCAAAATGGTCCTGACGATGAATTTGACATCTGATTTTGATATTTAGCGCGATTTGGCACCAAACCGTAGGCGCCAACCCAAATGCAAAATTTAGTCGCCACGGGGGATCGAACCATTAACAGTACCTTATGCTTCTTTTTTGGTACTGCTAAAACCGTTCAGCGAAAATGAAACATGGTTTTGTGTTCCCTACATGCATCCCTACAATATGCAAGAAACCCTTTTGAAAAAGCGTGGCTTGCCCTGAAAGACCTTCCTTGTGAGTCTCAAAAAGCCTGAAGACAAATATTTTACAAAATTAATCCATACAGTCGAAAAAGCTTCCCGCAGAATCGCATTTCAGTCCGCCAAGAACCGAAATTTCAGAATTCGGTGTTCGGCTTGACAGCTGACTTTCCAGCCGCGTACACGAATGCCATTGTCGTCGGTAATAACATCTGCGGCACATTCATCAGCGTTCTTTCCATAGTAACAACCATAGGTTAGTTATGATCCCGGCTGTTTAAAAGATCCTTATGTGATATGTGTTTAGCCTTCATAACCGATACTAAAACCGTAGCAATAGTATATTTCTCAATCTCGCTGGTAGTGCTTATCGTCTGCCTCCTGTCGCTGTACTGCTTAACTCAAATAGTACGTTTTCCAAACGGACCACGTAAAAGAACGAGTTCAATTTTTTAGCTGAGATGAGATTATTTTAAGGAATTCTTCAATTATTACATAAATAAAGGAAAACAAAGCCGGATCGCCGAACATGCCACACGGCCTAGCTTACAACAATTTTACGAGACTTTCAAAGGCGTAAGTGCTAGTCTAAATTTCGGTTAACGTGCTCTTCCATTCGACCCTAGCTGCGAAGGCCTTCTTCTTCCTAAAAAGACCGTCGATGGATCCTCTGTTTAGTGTTGGATGCAGTTGTTGAGTGTATTTTTGGTGTTTTTTGTCACACTTGCTGTGTTCCCTACCATACTGGCCGGTACGACACCGAACCGAAAAGGGCCAACCATGGAACAGTCCCATTCCCAGTGAGAACACTTTTTAACTCTGCCCTTCAGCTGACGAACCGTCACTCAATTCATATCTTAAGGAGAGATATATCCCGGCATCACAGTCTTTCTTAACTTTAACCTCCTCGCAGCAATCGGATCAACAACAGCGAACTTCGTGCAAATCGTGAGTTCGCTTTTCATTTGGTATTTTTATTATGCCGGGCCATTGAACACCAGCGGGGGGAAGGGGGGTGAGGGAGACTGGTGCATAAAAGCCTAACTGCGAGAGCGCAGCACCCAACACAAACTACTGCGGCGATACGGAACGGTGCGGCAAGAATTCTTGAATTTTTTGTCTGATTCACCGAATACTTGACTTGCCTTTGCAAGCAGTTTATCCGCTTTATCGTTCTTCTCGATCTGCTTGCCATATCTGGACCACATGGATCGATTTTGGATTTTACGTTCAGAGACACGGCGCACGTTCACCAACTGATCGCTTTTGACGCTTGTCTCTTCAACGCATTGTCCGCTCGTTTCCTGATCCCTGAATTGCTCTGAATTTGGATCGGATCGAGATTCCCGATCCCTGGAACTGCTCTGAGTTTGAATCGGGATTTAAGAATTTGGTGGCCATTCTGCCCACTTCGATGCACAACTTACTCACCAATAGGAGTCCTCCCTTCCTTCGCCAACCTCTACCCACTTTTTTCCGGTATCCGGGACTTCTTGCAACCGTGTTGTAAGTTTGGTGGCAAACACTGCCCACCGTGGTGGTGCAAACCCCTCTTACCAAGCAGTTGACCTCCTTTCCTTCGTGAACCTCCACATTTTTTCGGTCCTGGACTGTCTCCGATCGAATTATGAGTTCAACGAATGCTGTTCCTATTTTGCAGCCGGGGCCGAACCTGCTACTAGTCCCTGTGACAGCACGTCTGCTGTTCATTCCATACTTCATGCTCTGTAATTATAACGTCGACGATCGAGTGATGCCGGTGTTTTTCGAGAATGAGTGGTTCTTTATCATCGGAAATGCCGTTATGGCATTTACCAGCGGCTACTTCAGCTCACTTGCTATGATGTACGCTCCAAGGTACGTAGCGGACAGTGACGCCGCCTACTCTCACGGTACTGGGGCTTGAGATCATTTTTTCTTTGCAGGGTCGTCAAGAGTTCTCTATCGAAAACTGCAGGAATGATGGCAGCACTTTTCCTAGTTACAGGTGAGCGGTACCTGTAGCTAGCCTTTCGACACTGAAACGGGTGGCAAACATGAACTATTCAACGTATCCAAAGCTGGATGCAGGCAGCTGGATGAAGAAATGATCACCGCTACACCTGAATAGCTAACGCTAACTTCGGATGTAGCAGCTGATGAAACTCAGCCACCCTACTAAATTACTAGACTAAAGTTAATTAGGTCGACGTCGAACAAAAAGCCCTATTGCAAGAGTAGCCGTTTGCGGGACCCTATACAGGGTGGGTGGTGAATGAACGGTGAGTTTGACCCTGATTGTAAACAATTTTTTATAAATGGTATCCTCCATTTACACTTATTAGATTCCGATCCCTTGCGGGAGGCTTGCTTTATCTACAGGTTTCTTAATTTTCATCTCTGGCTCATCCAAAAGCAGCTTCTAGGAAGCTGGGGTTCCCGAGCGGCTTCTGCAGGCTTCCGATCCCCTACGATACAACATTTGAGCGGATTGGTGGCTATGACGACAAAATACTTGCCCACCGCGCGACCTGAACGGTTCGCCATATCCCTTGAAACTGGACAGCGGGTGGCTTGCCCACTCGGCCTGCTCAAATAAGCTTTTCCCATCCTCACGCTTGCGAAATGGGGCACTCACACCACGGTATGATTCACTATGACACGCTTCTATTAGAAGTAGGTTGCAAAATCAGCTTATCAGTGCAAATCAATGACAATGTGGGAATAAGAAGAGGACCCATCATTCCGGAACGTTCGCATAATCTGTTCTATGACAGCACAGTCGAAAAACAGTTGAACTACACAGAAAATATATAAGCAAGAACTTGGAAAAAGTGACATGTTCCGCGAGAGCGCGCTGTTTCCGCAATTTTGTGTCCACCCAGTGTCACTTGAAAAGGATTAATGAATTTCGCTCACATTCACGAATTGCGGTGGGTGTGGCGTTTGTACCGGCGATCACGCACATGGTTAACAATATAGGATAACGAGTACAGTTATAAGAAGCCCTCAATCATAGATATTAGCGCTTTACATAAAAGTTTACCTTTATTCTTTCACTACTACAAATAAAAAATTGATGCCAATGTTGGAAACTCCCAGAAGGCTCCCACTTAGGACATGGCACAGGTCAGTACTGTAGAGCCAAGCTTGATAGTCTGACCTGTGCAATAAAGTGAACCGTTAGAACTTAGGAGAAACCCTCGGGTGTTCTGTGTTGGGATCTTCGACCTAGATGCACGTTCACCCTTTTCTCAACCGCCACAGTGTAAACAGTTGCAAAACAGAAAAGATTAAGTAGCGCGAAGCGGTGGGTTTTAAGTCTCCTACCCTTACCTTTATTAAGCTTCGAAAGTCAAAAGTTGCTCTCAGCATCTTCTCTCATGTCGTTTATAAGGGATCAGCTGCATGGGTGGTCTGCAGGATGCCTTTTTCTCGGCTTCCTTCGGTGAGCACTGTTTCAAATTCTGTGGCACTGCTTGAAAAAAATGATGTTCTCTGCGAAGCCCAACTTCAAGAGGAATAACCATCTACAACCACCCCCAAGCTAAACAACTCGAACGAGATGATACTGTAAAAAAATTCTACCGTAGCATTAGCGGAGCTGCGAGCGACTGGTGTTCGCATGTGAATGGAAGACTACCCATCTGGACCAACTAATGCTGAAAGGATTGCATTCGTTCCGACGCTGTCAAAACCTCTCATAGCCAATGAAGCTTGTGATGAGGGTCATCTAAATTCTCTTTCACGGACCGAAGCGACGTATTCTGATTGGAGCGCTGAATCTCTCACAAAACCTGAGTTGCTCAGAAAAAATGTGCTTCATCCAGTGTCCTCTACTTGCAAAGACCATCACCTACTTTTTTGTTAGGAATAACCGAGCGCTATTCTTTCCATTGGTTCTGCACTACTAAAGGCTTGACGTCATATGGATAGCAAAAACCATACCAAGTTATGATCACTCTAAAGGAGTAAGTCAGTAAGACCTTTTTGAGACCTGACGTTGTAACACCTTTCATTCCAAATCGCAGTTCATATCTTATCCTATCAAAGTTGTACGCGTTTTCTCCCATATAAATTAATGTATATCCGTGAAACATATTGGCATATATCTTCGGCGTTAGCGTCTTCAATTCGAATCACTATGTATAATAGTAAGATTAGATCAGGAGCACTTCCGCCTGCTACCAGGGAAAAGTTTCAAGTTCCCATAGAGCTTTGAATTGAGACCTAGGTAAATCGATAGAGCCTGGGATGATGGCTACAAATGTAAAGACCAAAACTGCTACCAGAGCCTCCCAAAGAAGTTATTAGCGATCAAGGTGGTTCCAAGTTCGATTCCCCGTAGTGTCAAAATTTTGCATTCTAGGTTGGCGCTCTAGTTTGGTGCCAAATGGCGCCAGCGCCAAGAATAAATGTCATCTTCGTAATCAGGATCTTCTGCAAGTAGGCTTTTATCAGATATCATTAGTACCAACCATGTACCGCATGCCAATGATCGCTCACAGGTTCCTTGGCAAGTTCGCGCAGCAGTTTTGCTTTTCATACGTGTAACTAGCATTCGAGGTTCTATTGATTTACCTATATGTCAATCCTGTTTAGACTCTAGCGTGTGGCGATGATCGGAACTATTCTAATTTCCGGGTAGATAAGCCTTAGCTATTGTACGTTAAACACATCCGCTCGTGTAATGCCCTTGCATACAACACACTACTGTAACTTTAGCCATAGGGGTGATTCGTTGCCTCGATTACGAAGAGAACATTCATTCTTGGAAGTGGTGCCACATGGCGCCAATTGACTTTTTCGCGATCCTTGTTTTCACC